GTGTGTGTGTGTACCAACAGGAGGAGACGGACGAGTTTTATTCCCAGTCGAAAGCTTTAAGGGGGGGCAGCACTACAGACCTTCTGACGTTATGCAAGTGTTTCTTCTTCGATGTTCCGCTGCCAGCGCCGCTTGAGCCGCTCGATTCCTCTGGCCGGCTCTCCTCCGCCCTGGCCTTCGTGAGCAGGCCCTTGAGTTTCTTGGCCTCGGCCTCGGCCTGCTTCTGCGCGGCCTGGGGGGCGAGACTCTCGTCCTCTGGTCTGTCTCTCTCTCTCTCTCTTTTTCTCTTTGTCTCTGTCTTTCTCTCTCTGTTTTTTTCTCCATATTCCTCTCTGCTGCTCTCTCCATACATGTCTGTGTATATACACATTAGACGAGCACGTACATAAACATGTAAACATACATGTATGTTTGTTGTGTGTGAGTGTAGTGTGGGTGCATGTGTGTTGTGTGTGGATGTGAATGTGAGTGTGAGTGTGTGTGTGTATGTGTGTGTCTATGTGTGTGCCTGTGTGTGTTGTGTGTTGCGTGTTGTGTTGTGTGTTGTGTGTTGTGTTGTGTGTTGTGTCTGTTGTGTCGTGTGTTGTGTTTTGTGTGTTGTGTGTGTCGTGTGTGGTGTGTGAGTTGATTGTGTTGCGTGTTGTGTGTTGTGTGTTGTGTGTGAATTACGTGCTGTGTGTTGTGTGCTGTGTGTTGTATGTGTTGTGTGCTGTGTGCTGTATTGTGTGGGGTTGTGTGTTGTGTGTTGTGTGTGTTGTGTGTTGTGTGGTGTCTGTGTTGTGTGCTGTCTGTTGTGTGTTGTGTGCTGTGTGTGGTGAGTGTGTTGTGCGTTGCGTGTGTTGTGTGTTGCGTGTTGTGTGTTGTGTCCGTTGTGTCTGGTGTGCGTTGTGTGTGGCGTGTGTGTGTGCGTGCGTTGCGTGTGTTGTGTGTTGTGCGTGTTGTGTGCTGTGTGTTGTGTCTGCTGTGTGTGTTGTGTGCTGTGTGTTGTGTGTTGTGTGTGGTGTGTGCGTGTTCTGTGTGTTGTGTGTTGCGGGTGTTGTGTGCTGTTTTTTGTGTGTGTGGAAGTGTGTGTGTGTGTGTGCGTGTGCGTGTGTGCGCGTGTGTGTGTGTGCCTGTGTGTGGAGTATGTGTGGTGTGTAGTGTGTGTGTGTGTGTGTGCGTGTGCGCCTGCGTGTGCGTGTGCGTGTGCGCGGGCGCGGGCGTGGGCGTGTGCGTGTGCGCGTGCGTGTGAGTGTGCATATGCGTGTGCGTGTGCGTGTGCGTGCGTGTGTGCGTGTGCGTGTGCGAGTGCGTGTGCGTGTGCGTGTGCGTGTGCGTGTGCGTGTGCGTGTGCGTGTGCGTGTGCGTCTGCGTGTGCGTCTGCGTCTGCGTGTGCGTGTGCGTGTGCGTGTGCGTGTGCGTGTGCGTGCGCGTGCGCGTGTGCGTGTGCGTGTGCGTGTGCGTGTGCGTGTGCGTGTGCGTGTGCGTGTGCGTGTGCTTGTGTGTGTGTGTCCGTGTCTGTGTGTGTGTTTGTGCTTGTGTTTATGCTTGTGTTTGTGTGTTGTGCTTGTGCGTGTGCTTGTGCTTGTGTTTGTGGTTGTGGTTGTGCTTGTGGTTGTGTTCGTGTTTGTGCGTGTGGCTTCATCCCTCTCTGCTGTCTCCCTAACACTCACGCTCTTTACACATCTCTCTCTCTCTCTTTCTCTCTACCGTCCCTCTCTCTCTCTATCTCTCCCCCTGTCGGAAAATGATGTATGTACCGCAGCATTAGAACCACACGCGCGTGCTCCGCGCGCGCTTGGGTTCTGGCGCAGGCCAGGGCGCCATTACGACACCTCAGATCCGTGCCACAATGCGTAGCGGGGTTGACGCCAGCCTGCGCCAACTGCACGTGACATTGGGACCAGCGCGCCCCATCTCTCGCCGTACCGTGTCCCACAGCATGTCTTACCTCTCCGCCCTGCTGGCTCCGTCCCCGATTCTCTCTCGCTTGCCCTCGTTGGTCTCCAGTCGGTCCTCTTATCCGCCTCCTCCTACTAAGGGCATCCATCCTACATGCTCGCTCCTTGGCATTCCTGTCATTTTCTCTCTCCTTTCCTCCCTGCCCATTCCCGCCCGCAACTGCCGTCCCTTACTCTGCTTGCGTTACAGTGTAGGCCCGTTTCGCTCTCAGCCCTTGCCGAACGGACTCTCTTCATCCCATCCTCCTCGGCACCCGCCCCCACCCCCTTTTTTCCAAACTCTCCATTTGCCTTCTGCCTCCTCTCTCCCCTGCCCCGTCCTCATCCCCGTACGTTCGTGTGTAGATTCCTCCATGTGTTCTGCTGGTCCGCCCGTATCCCCCTCTCCTCCTCGTCATTGTCGTCCCCATCCTCCTCCTCCTCCTCCTCCTCCTCCTCCTCGTCCTCCTCCTCCTCCTCCTCCTCCTCCTTCTCCTCCATCTCCTCCTCACCGCCTCCTCCTCCTCTTCCTCCTCCTCTTCGTTGTTCATTGTTTTGTTCTTGTGAGCTTTGCTATTAGT